GACGAACCAAGAAATCAAGAGAGGCTGTGGCCAAGATGGTTGGGTTAGACAGAAAAAAGAGCTGGAGGAAGAAAAGTGGAGCTGGGTGGGGGGAGGGGCTGGAGAGGTTTAGGGTAGGGGCTGGGTGAGGAAAAGTGCTAGGACGAGCCAGGACTCTACCAGGTACCCACAATGCTTAGAGAGCCTGGCAACCAGCAGTGTCTGCTTTGAGATATTAATAGGCACCACAGCCATTTGACCTGACTTTCTTTGGGACCTAATTAACAGCCACTTGTAACTCCAGTTCCAGAGGATCTGACACCCTCTTCTGGCCTCTGTGAGCACTGCATGCATAGGGTGTATATACATGTTGACAAAACACTCATACACATAAAACAAATAGAAATCTAAAAAAATTATAATTCGTATTCTATGTGTGTTTAATTAGTGAAGCCTAATATTTTCTTTTTCTGACCTCACGCCTGTGTCACACCTGTAAAAGCATGTCCTTAGTGTTAGGAGAGATAACATGTACAAATGCAGCTTCTCAGTCAACTCGGATTTGGACCTTATCAATGTCCTACACACTATTGGTGACAAAGGGCACAGCCATGATGAGCTAGCATGGTGGGAGCGGGAAAGGCAGACTGGTTCTCTGCATATGGAAACTGAGGTCAACACAGTTCAAAAGAAGCCTGCAGAGATCTGGAAGCTAATTTAATATGGAAGATATTAGGAGCTGGAGCTACTGCCTGTCTAATATTTATTCCTGGGGGCCGTGGCATTCTCTGCAGGAAGTTGAGTGGTGACGGCCCTGCTTGTGGTCTCCCTGTAATTAAAGCTGAGACTTGCTGTGGATATCATTCTATATAAATAAAACACTGATGGCCAGTGACCAGGCAAGAAATAGGTTGCCAGGCAGGAAGTAGGTGGGACAAGGAGAGAGGAGAATTCTGGGAAGCGGAAGGCTGTGGGGGGAGACACTGCAGCCACCGCCAGGACAAGCAGCATGTGAAGACGCTGGGAAGCCACCAGCCACGTGGCAAGGTATAGATTTATAGAAATGGGTTAATTTAAGATAAAAGAACAGTTAGCAAGAAGCCTGTCATGGCCATACAGTTTATAAGTGATATAAGCGTCTGAGTGATTATTTTATACGTGGATTGTGGGACTGCGGGGCTTGGGGAACCTGGAGAGAAGCCCTCCAGCAACAGAGACTCACTCCTTAACTTACGCTGCTGAGGATTCTGAATTCAAGTACATGGGTAATGAGTGGAGATGACAACTCAGGGCTCAGGAGTCCTTGACTAAAGAGCTGAAGCCCCAGGGCTGAAACAGTTTCACAACTGGGACCACCCTGAGGAAGTGCGGGAAGCCCACAGGGCCTCGAGACTCCATTCATGGGCTGCGTAGAGGGTGTGTGTGTGTGGGAGTGGTCTCATCCTTTATCTTTTTCCTTGTCTGCTGTTCAACCCTCTCAGTCAGATCACTTCAAATTCAGCACTTTCAATCCTGCAGCTCACCCCAGCTCCTTATTTGAACTTCAGTTTATCATTTAAAGTGGAAAGTTAATTTGAAATGATCTTAATTTCCATCTGAATAAGTTTTAAAATTGCCAGAGAAAGCCCAATGGTCATGTTAGATCAGTAATAGTGATTTGCTGAGGGGAAACCTGAGAGCCAGGCACACCCAACCTGGTTCCACCCTTGCTGGTTTTGTCTAAGGAGAGCAGCATTGAAAAGTGGAAGCCGTACTACTGGTGCTATATTTAGGAAGTGGACTCCTGTGCCAATGTGTTCAAGACTGCTTCCTACTTTCTTTTCTACCAGGTTCAGTGTAGCTGGATTTATACTGAGGTCTTTGATCAACTTGAACTTGAGTTTTGTGCATGGGGACAGATATGGATCTATTTGCATTCTTCTACATTCTGACATCCAGTTATGCCAACACCATTTGTTGAAGGTGCTTTCTGTTTTCCATTGTACAGCTTTGGGTTCTTTGTCAAAAATCAGGTGTTCATAGGTGTGTGGATCAATGTCAGGGTCTTCAATTTGATTCTATTGGTCCACATGTCGGTTTTTATGCCAATACCAAGCTGTTTTTATTACTATAGCTCTATAGCAGAGCTTGAGGTCAGGGATGGTGATGCCTCCAGAAGTTGCTTTATTATACAGGATTGCTTTAGCAATACTGGGTTTTTTGTTTTTCCACATGAAGTTGAGTATTTTTTTTTCCAGGTCTGTGAAGACTTGTGTTGGGATTTTGATGGGAATTGCATTGAACATAAAAGAATGGGATGGTCCAGATAGGGGAGGGATGGAGTGGGAGAGCAATGAAAGAAATATCTTGGTAGAGGGAGACATTATGGAGTAAGGGAGAAACCTGGTGCTAGGGAAATGCCCAGGAAATACACAAGGACGACTCTGGATTAGATTCTAGCAATAGTGTGGTGAGGGTGTTTGAACTGGCCTACCCTAGTAATCAGATTGGTGAATACCCTAACTGTCATCATAGAGTCTTCATCCAGTATTTGATGGAAACAAATGCAGAAACCCACAACCAAGCACCAGGCTGAGCTCCAGGAGTCCAGTTGAAGAGAGGGAAGAGGGATTATCTGAGCAAGGGAGGGTCAAGATCATAATGGAGAAATCCACAGAGACAACTGAACCAAGCTCATAGAAACTCACAAACTGACAGCTGTGGAACCTGCATGGGACCGGACTAGAATCTCTGCATACAGGAGAGAGATGTGTAGCTGGGTCTGTTTGAGGGGCCCCTGGCAGTGTGATCAGGATCTATCCCCAGTGCATGAGCTGGCTTTCTGAATCCCATTACCTATGGTCGGACACTTTACTCACTCCTGATGGAGCAGGGAGGGGCTTGGTCTTGCCTCAACTGAAGGTACCACGCTTAGCCTTCACCTCCCCACCTCCCCGCATGGGAGAATTTACTCTTTTGGAGAAGGGGATAAAGGGTGAGTCAGAAGGGGAAGGCAGGGGCATGGGGAGCAGGAGGAGGGATGAGAGGGGGATCAGTGGTTGGTATGTAAAATGAATAAGAAAAATTGCAAAAAGAAAAGAAAAGAAAAGTGGAAGCCATAACACTGTCACTACTTGGGTCCCTTGACACAGATGTGTGCCGCATCAAATGACCAAAAGAAAGAGTTCTTCTGACACCCAAGGATTACAGTAAGACAATTCCAAGCCTGCTCTTGTCACAGTTTTAAGAACCATATCTTCTGAAATCCATGCCGACAAGCTTGTGTCATGGTGGCGAGTGTCCTGCTGTGGCCGCGTGCTTGCCGGGTGTACAGCCTTGACCTCTTGTCTGGCTTTTCTTCTCAGCAGTGGAGTTGGGGCAGCAAAGACTGGACAGATATCCCAGCGGAAAGCCGAGAAACACAGAGGTTTACCAGCTGCCACTGCACATCACAGAAGGGGCTTAAGCCCGAACTGACATTTACTGGCTCGTATAAAGGGAGCATTCTGGGGTATGTCTCCTTCCCCCCTGTGACATAAATGCCTTCCCGTAAGGTCACTGCAAGCCCTCAGTAAAACAGTCTCTGTTTCCTCCATAGCTCAAACTGGAAGTTCATCTCATCATCTTGACTTGGTCTAACTTGTTTTGGGAATGCCTGTTTTAGCCTAGAACTTCAGTGTATAGATGCACACTAGGATGTCTTGGGTGAGAGCTCTGAATTCTGTTAACTTCAGGTGCAGTGGAGTCAGGTGCTCAGGACTCAGCCCTTTCTTATATCCCTAGTGGCTTTATTCTGCCATCCTAACAGCAGAATTTGGATTTCTTTTTTTTATTTTTATTTTTACCATATTCTATGGTGTCCTGAACAAAATTTGTCACTGGAAAGATACAATGTAGCCACCTTTGAGTTTGGATGGGGTCAGTCATGAACTCTGTGACTGCAGAGCGGTGGCAGGATGCGGTTCCTTTGGGGCATCTTTAGGAGGTTTTCAGCAGAACAAGGAAACTTAGAACAAATGGCTGCTGTGTGCAGGGCAGAGGCCTTGTGCCCTGGAAAACAAATCATGGCATTATAGGAGTCAATTGTTTCACCCACACTGACAAAGTATTTGTAAGAAAACCACCTTCTCCTCGAAGTTTACACTCACATCAGGTGATACTCCGTTAAAAAAACAGTCATGAACTTCATTCCCATAAATAAGCAACGTGCTCCAGTTAAAAATAATATGAGAAAGAGGGGAAGACAAAGGGGTCGAGATGGGATTCCTCAACAGCGGGCCGGCCCACATGTAGCCCCTCTGACACCGGAACTGATTCCTGTGTCACCTCCATTTATAGAGCTGGGACTGACTGTTAGGGGTCTGGGGGATCACATAGAAACTTGTTTCTTTGGATCGGTGAAGGGAAGATTGAGCAGTTATTCCTTCTGCCTGAAAAGGCCATTCCATTTGGTGAGGGGAACTGTCACTGATAATGGTCCAACTGAGCGAAGGTGAGAATGAATGGTAAACACACCTGGGAGGACCCAGGATGGTTCAGCAAATGGGCCATAAAGCTGGGTTAATGGGATGGTAAAGCTGCCTCTGGGGTGCCCTGCCCTTTGCCTAAGCATTTGCTTGGCGACAGGGTCTACCAAGGAAAGCAGGCTGTGTGCTTTTATTAGTCTGCGGACTGCGGCTTATACCATTTCTTTATATTGACATTGACCTACAACGTTCTCACGGAGCCTTTCCCTTTATATAAACATTTTCTCCGACTAAAATCAGACACCTTGTCTTTCCACCCTGGTGATTGCCTCTGACAGGCGTCCACCCACATCTTCTGAAGGCCCTGCAAAACTGAACTTCTGTTGTGGGGGCTGCAGAGGGTAAGCAACTTTTTCCCTGATCAGAAAGCCTACAACCGCCACTTCAGATTCAGATTCCTCTCACTGCAGATGCATCCCATCAGCACCACAATGGTAGTCATTATCAATATGGCGAGCCCTGGGGTGTGTGTGTGTGTGTGTGTGTGTGTGTGTGTGTGTGTGTGTGTGTGTGTGTGTGTTGCCAAATAAGCCTAGACATCTGATATTTATCCAAATTGTGTCTGAAAACAATGAAATTTGTGAACATCTTTAAGATTTCTGCAAGTTTTGTAGCTTTGGATTTTTCTAGAAGACCCTGGGAGCACACTGGTTCCTAACCTGTGACAGGCCTCCGAGAGTACCCATGTAACTGTGGTGACCTCCCCACGCCTTGCTCCTCAGGGTGTGTGTGGTGTATGTTGAGTTATGGCTGTTGCTGGGTGGAGACTGTTTCTAGTCTAACCCTCCGTTAGCAAGGCCATGCTAACTGCTTATGCTGCACACCCAGGTTCCTTGTGGTTGACTATTACAGCAACGTAGTGTTTGCTCACGTTGGGCCTACGGAAGCCTTCAGGACTGAGATGAGAAAATTGTCTCTGCTGGGGCCTGGGTAGATGGCTTCAGACCCAAGGACCAGCGTTCAAAATTCAGAGCCCACGTAAAAAATCTAAGTATTGTGATGTATACCTTAAACACAAAGACAGGGGTCAGGCTGTCCTCCTGAGCTGGTGAGTTCCGGGTTCTAGAATACACCTTCTCTCAAAAAACAAGGTTGGGAAGCAACTGAGGGAGCTCTTCCCCACCAGCCTCTGGTAACCACATGTGCTCACACACATGTGTTCACACACATGTACACACACACGAGTTGACTAAGGGGCTGGAGAGAGGCTCAGAAGGTGTGCTGCTCTTCCAGAGGGCTCGCATTTGTTTCACAACTCCCTGCAATTCCAGCTCCAGGAGACCTGATGCTCTTTTCTAGTCTCCACAGGCCTCTTACACACACAGTAGACACACACACACCTGGCACCCTCGCGCGCGCGCGCACACGTACACACACAAAATCAAATCTAAAAACATTTAAAATTAATTTTAAGAAAGAGAAAAAGGTCCCTTCTGAGAAACTACCTTTCAGCTACTACCCACCAAGGAACAGAGTGCAGATGTTCAGTAGCAGGGGCAGTCTCTGCCACACCTGAGTGTGACATTGAACTCTGAAGCCCTGGTCCTCATGATGTGTGTACTTGACTGCTAAACTGAAGACAGCTGTGAAGATAGATCCAGCAGTAGCAACAGACCTTCAGCTGGCTGAGGTGAAGTCTCCTCTTCTAATGTTCTTTTCCTACAGAGTTTTAGGAACAGCAGGGAGAAAATATTCAGGTCTTTAACTGTCTGGTGGTTTTAACTGACATCAACACCACCTCTCACTACATCTCACCCTCAGGGTGGGCCAGAGTTGTGAAGCAGCGATGGTCTAGCCTACCTGTGTGGCTGACCCATATGTGGAGAGGGTGCCTTTCTTCCTCAGTGCCCTGGAAGCCCTCCTGGATTCCAGCCAGTTGCTGTGGGCTGCAGATTCAGGTTAATTACTTTCATAAGTGAAACTAGAGTTACAAACTGAAAATGCCTCTGGAAGGAGGTTTACGTTTTCTAGAAGCCTCAGGATGATTTTCTTAGCCTACTCCTGTGGCTACCTCGATGGAGCCCTGAGCAGAGCACCTGAGAGCTGTCAGCTCCTGGGACCCTCATCCCCATCATGTGAGGCCCTGGGTTTTCCTCCATCTTTAGAAGTCAAGGCACAGAGTCGTTCTCGGGAGACTTCCAGGAAGCATGGCACCCTACAGTCTAAATCACAGCAATTTGGGTCCCTTTGCCGATGTTTACCACATTATTTTCACCTTCTTTCTCAGCCTATTAAGAAGCTTGCATCATTTACGAAGGCATCTCTGGACAGTCCTGGAGGCCAGCACTTCTCTGCATTCATTATGCCTTGTCATGAGTACAGCCCCAGCACAGTATAAATAGCCTAATTATTTTTGCACCTTTCTTATTATTTACATCATTAATAAGGTGTTGGTTTTGTTTTTTAGCTTATCATTCTCTTTGAGTACCTTACAATTTACTTGTACTTAATGCAATTATCTGAGCATCGTGGGTTAAATTCTGCTGTGTGCCTCGCACGGATGCTGTCTTTTCCTAGCTCTTAGATTTGTCATTTCCCTTTGTACTTGTGTTAATTATTGCCATTTCATTTTTTAAAAAATCCTTAAATTGGAATGTAATCTTTCCTAGTCTTAATAGCTCCTCTAAATATGCAGCATTTAAGTTATTAAATCCAAAATAATTCAATCATTTTTCTTAAAGGCATTTTGTGGAAGGTTCTAGATGGCCCCTTCTAGTCTCTTCCCAGTGCTGAGGTAGAACACTTGACTATCGATTCCGCTCCTTTATCACCTGTGCTTTTCACTGCTGCAAACAGGAAACTCAAGATCCTAGCACCTGGCTGAACCTCAACACTTGTTTTTCTCTTGTTCTAGGCCAGGTAGGGTCCTCAGTAAACAGGACCCACCTCTGAAGTCTCTCCAAATTGCAAGAATAAATCCATTGCTTTGTGGATCAAAAAGTTCAAAATCTCTGACTTGATTCTCTGCAGTAGGAGTTCAGCATCCCAGATGTTGTTTTTGTTTGAGTACAATCTGAACTGTATTAAAAACTACCTACTGCTGTGTGGCCAGTTTGCTTTTTTCCCTCTTGAAAGGTCCTGGTGGGGACTGTGGCAGATGCGTTGCTGGGACTCCTGGGGGTCCAGCTGCTTCCTGAGACACTCAGCTTGGGGGTCAGCGCCTCTGGGTTATGCACTTTTGAAATGGTCCTGCTGAAGTGCATGTTTTGACTTTGGGGTTTCCAGATGTTGCAAAGCAGATCCCATGTGCTCACAGTGGTGGGACCCAGCATTCTTCTTAAAGTGAGGCCCAGAGCAGTCACAAGTTTAGAGCGGTTTGCTTTGAGTGGACAGGGCAGCTCAGCATTGGATTGCATTTCACCCAATTGTTTGAATATTATATGTTTAATTGAGTCATTGTCTACTCTTTATTTTTTATAAAAGACATTTTAACATCCTGAGCCATTTTTAATTTCATATGTAACTATACCCTGTGACTATTAAAATGAAGAAACATAAAATCACATAAATGGATGGTGTTGGACTTCTGGCAAGTGGCCATCCTGATGCTAGCACATTGTAGCGGTTTTAAATCTCAGATTCAGAGCATCATACAACATGAACATATTGGGTAGAGCTTTCGAAGCCATGTCTGCAGGCTTTGTCGCTTTTCCGATGGGGAATCAAAGCCTGAGAGTGTAAGTGGATGACAGCCCAGTGGTTTCCAGAATCCGAGTTTCATTTCTGATACAATGTCCAGAAGCATATACCATCTTTTTGCATGTATGTGTGTGTGTGTGTGTGTGTGTGTGTGTGTGTGTGTGTGTGTGTGCGCGCGCGCGCGCGTGCCACCATAAGCATGTGGAGATCAGAGGTTGAAGTCAGGTGTCTTTCTCTACTGCTCCTCTTACTCATTGAGGCAGAGTTCTCAAGTGTTTACGCTGGACCTGGGATCAGAACTTCCAACCTCACGCCTATGTAACAAGTACTTTATGTGCTCAGCTACTTCCTCAGCCCGTGTGATGATTTTATGTATCATTGTAACTATGTTGACAGGAGTAAGGTATTCTAAAGAGAGACATGTTTGCCTCTCCCTTCCTTCAGCTTTCAGTTTATTAAGACAGTGGTCTCCAAGGTGTTGGAATTTCAGGGGTCTCATGTAGAGACAGAAGAGAAAAGGTTGGGTTACTGGTGCCAGTCAGAGGAAGACCTCACTCCAGTAAGAGATTTCACCCAGTGTTGACAGTTTGTCAGAGCATCCTGCAGGGGAATCACGCCCAGATGATGATGATGGTGGGACCAGACCCTGACCAGGATTGCTAAGCTATGCATACCTCTTACTCTCTATTTGAACCTAAGTCTCATGTTAGGCTCGCTAAGATGGCCTTGTGGGAGTCAGTGAACCTCCTGATTCCTCTTCTCAGGAATCAGGCCACATTGAATAAAGCTTTTCCTGCTTCCTTTATTACATTACTGTCCAATTGGCCTACTGAAGACAGGTGTCTGAACCTGGTTCTTTAGGGCTGGAGGGTCCAGCTCTGATTCTAACAACTACAGTGCACAGTGGTTTGATATTGAACTTTAATCATACAACAGCAATGTTGAGCTAAATGCAAAATTTTCGTCTCAGCAGAAGTATACCAAAGTGACTCTTAATGCGGGAGAATCTGGTGTTGGCGAGAAGTCACTGGTTAGACACTGTGACAGGCACTAGAGAGCTAAAAGTGAGAATTATGTGTTCAAGAGTCTGCAGTGAGCATCAACAATAAAAGCAAGTGGGAAATTCCAGGTATTGTAAGTACACATGTGACTTCCCAGCTGCTGGCAGAGCTGCTGAACCTGGGCTGAACTTCCTCTCCACAGAGCAGCTGGGGCCATATCACTCCCCAGGGTGCTTGCGTTAGCAAATGTGTTTTATTCCCCATTGTGGAAGGGTCAGTGAATGTGTCTGAGGCAGGTGAGCCAGACTATAGGAATGTTGTTGACCGGGACGAGAATTTATGTCTCAATACTCAGGTAACAGAGCCATGGAGATGTTCATAGGATCGATCCATGGTGTCTAAGGAATGAGCCTGGCTGAGAGAAGCTTTGACAGGAGGCTGCCCCCAAGCAAACAGGAACAGCTGGTGGCTCATTCTAGGTAGGGGTGTCCAGTGCTGGTCTCTCTGGACCACACAGGATGAAGAAGAAATGTCTTGGGCCGTAAGTCAAATCCAGGATTTTCCAATCCGTGGCCTGTGGGTTGTGAAAGCATATATATGTTTACTTCGTGTGACACTGTGACTTGGTACTACCATCAACAGAGTCCACATTTGAGGGCCTTATAACTGAGCTAAAAAAAATCATGGAGCTTGGGAAATGGTTTAGTCCATAAAGTACTTGCCACACAGGCATGAAAGATTGGAGTTCTATCTTCATTGAACTCACTGAAAAAACTGTGTGTAATGGAGGACTCCTATAATCCTAGTGCTGGGAAGATGGAGGACTCCCACAGTCCCAGTTCTGGGAAGATGGAGGACTCCCATAATCCCAGTGCTTGGAAAATGGAGGACTCCCATAATCCCAGTGCTGAGAAGATGGAGACAGAAGGACCCCTAGGCCCACTGGCGAGCTAGCCTTGCTGAATTGTAAGCTTCTGTTTCAGTGAGATACCCTGTCCCAAAACAGTGAGGCAGAGAGCAATTAGGAAGGTATCACTGACATCTGGCCTTCACACACACAAACATGTATACACACATTACACATAAAAATAGCTGTTTTTTTTTTTTTTTTTTTTTTTTTTTTTTTTTTTAGGTTTTTTGAGACAGGGTTTCTTTGTCTAGCTTTGGAGCCTGTCCTGGAACTCACTCTGTAGACCAGGCTAGCCTCAAACTCACAGAGATCCACCTGGCTCTGCCTCTTGAGTATTGGGATTAAAAGCGTGTGCCACCACCGCCCCGGCCTCTCAAAATAGTTTATGAGTTTGTGTTGTATGCGTGCATAGCTATCCCAGGCCATATGTGGCCTAGAGGCTGCAGGTTGAGTACCCTTTAAGGGAATTTCCCTGGAGACAGAAATGGGCAGATCTGAGAGATACTCAAGCAGTGTATTCAAAAGACAAGCATAGAGGAATATCATAATCATCATAGATAGTAAATGGGTCTGCAGGTCTTCCAGGGAGAAGGACCTTTCTTTGCTCTATTAAATGTAAACCAGCCTTATGACCAGCTGTAGTCAACGGGACAGCAACAGATTAAGGCTTCAGGGGTGTCTGCATGCTGGGGAATCTTCTATTGAGCTGACATCACAGGTGAACCACCAGCTGGCCTGTGAGAAGTGGAGACTTGCGGAGGTAAAACACCTCCCTGGCCTCCTCCCACCCCCTCTCCAACTCACCCCTGCCCTGGGATCTAGTCCTTTTCATGTACTCTTAGTTGATGTTTAATAAATCAAAGACGAACATCAATGATTAGACATGTGGAAAATACTTTCAAAATATGAGCAACATCTATGCCAAACCTTTAGATGAGGATTTCACTGTTGGAAAGCTTTGGCATGCATATCCTTGAGGTCCAAGACCTGCTCCTCTTAATTAAAACAGCTGCTTATAAATTTCTGCACTGTAATAAAACTTCTTGTCACAATAGAAACACCTGCAGACAAAATTGTGTTTCCTGTAATTCAGTGCATGAAAACGCTTTGGGTTTGTGTTTGCTCTGGAGTCAATTTTGGACCCAGGCACAGCAAAGAGAGAGAGCGCTGTCTTCTTATCCAGACTCCATGCAGAGAGGAAATTGATAGAGCAGCTGCAGAATCTCTTAGACTATCAAGTGGTTTATAGTAATATGACGGAGAGCTAAGCAAGAGACAATACCAGACACAGAAGGGAGACTTGATCTTAAAGGATGTGGTGATGGCCTTTCTGGGAAGTACAACTGTCTCCATGGCACATGATGCTAAGACCTCATCAGACCTCTACTTCTTTTGTGGCACACAATTTCCTGGCCCTTTAAAGGATGGGTTTAGAAAGAGAACCAGGCCTCAGATTTGCTCAACTTCACAAATATCCTATAACCCTGAGTTTGACCGATAGATATCCTGTTAAAATCTATCTTATGAATCTATCATAGATATTCTTTATGGGGAAAAATGCCAGTAAGAATTATTTAGATCATGCTGGTGTTGCTCAAAAAGGAAAGATACACTCAGTGTTGTTAGCTCCCAGCCTCGGAGCCCTTGGGTAAGGGCTGTGTGCGTCTATAGTCTGTGCTTCTGCTAAAAGGCTGAGAGATGGAGCTTTCAAATGAGAAAGGGGTGAATTCAGGTCTCTGCTCTGTACACGTTTTCTGTATGAAACAGTTTTCCTCTTCAGAACACTCTTTCAAAGGTAGGTGGTATCTGATGACGGTTTCCTCAACGAAAACATTGCTTCATCCAATATTCCTTATAAAATACCTAATTCAGCTTGCTGTGGGTATGGCTCAGTGTAGAGTGCTAGGCTAATGTATTAGTCAGGATTCTCTAAAGGAACAGAGTGATAGGCTACACACACACACACACAAACACACACACACACAGAGAGAGAGAGAGAGAGAGAGAGAGAGAGAGAGAGAGAGAGAGAGAGAGAGAGAACGAGCTATATACAGGATTTATTTCATTTACTTCCATGGAGTAGTTCAGTAATATCTGTGTCACACTGGAGGTCGTGAGAATCCAGGAGTGTCTCAGAATACAAGTCTCAGTGGCACCAATTTGACACCGAAGGCCTGGGGGATTCTGGGAGAGCTGCTGCTCTTCAGTCTTCATTGAAACCCGAAGAAGCTGGTTCTAAAATCAGCAAAGGAATACACCAGCCACAGGTAGATGGACTTGCCAGCAAGATCAAGGGCAAGCAGGCAAAAAGCAAACATTTCCTTTTATCTGAGCTGCCACCAGAAAGGGCCACCCACATTCAGGGTGGGCTATCTTGCTTCAGATAACCTGATCAAGAAATTCTCTCACAGGGCTCCTGGAGACTTCTGTTCTAGCTGATTCCAGATCCAGTCAAGTTGACAACAAGATTACCCATTACACCCAGCAAGCCCAAG